TCAGTTGTTATCATAGGAGTTAAGGAATCTTCTGCCGCACTTTCTTCTGATCGAGTTCTGTATGACTCCTCTTGCGTCAGGCAAATTCTTGATTACCTATCTGTCGATTGTCGTCCAATTTCAATCTACCGCATGGGACGCTTTGTGCCCAATAGAGCAAGACTCTTGAAAGTTGTTTTCCCCTCGTCCTTCTTTGCTTCGTTGTTGGTTAAACGTGCCCCTCAGCTCAAGATATTTTCGAGAGAAGGGAATTTTATTAGACCTTCTCTGTCTAAATCAGAACGTGACTTTTTGAGAGTTCAAAGGCTTACTCGTGTAGCGACTCATGTTTCACCTTCTGTTTGTGTTAATAACGGTGAAGCTGAGCCTTCTTCTACTGTTGGTAATAGTACTGTTCTCAATCAAGCTCCAGGTCCGATTTCTGATTGTGTTGTGGAAAACATGGGAAACCCATAAGGCCTTTATGGAAAACTGAGTCATCTATACTTTGTGTTGTGGCCAATATAAGATCTATTATGAGGAATTTGGATGCTTTGACTCTACTCATTAAAAGTGGCATTGACATTATTGCTCTAACTGAGACCTGGCTAAATCCGGCGGCTGACTTGCCTCCACTGTTGAGCGATGCTTGTTCCAATTATACAGTGATCAGATGCGACCGAGATTCTGCAAGGGGAGGTGGTGTTGCTATGTTGGATTCGCAACTCTCTCGCCCCCGTGGTCCTATTCAGTGAGTCCGCACCAAGGGGTTATGAAATTCTCTGTTGTGATGTACGCACTGGTCTCAGCTTGACACGATTTGTACTAGTTTATCGAACCCCCAGTTGCACAGTTGCCTTGACTGATCAAATGCTCAAAGCTATCAGTGATGTTATATCTTGCAATTCGCCCTGTGTTGTGACAGGAGATTTCAATTTCCCCGAGTTACAGTGGGATAGTTCGCCGAAAATAACTGGTAGTTCCAGTGCCCTCAATTTCAGGACATTTTGTCAAAATTATGGTCTTGCTCAGCTGGTTCGCGACTGTACTAGGGGTGGACACCTACTTGACCTCGTCATGTCGAACGATGTGAGCTTAATCTCTGACGTTGAAGTGAAGTCCCCGCTAGGCTTTAGCGATCACTACTCACTGCATTTCAAAGTAAATGTGTGCGCACCGACCCGATCTACAGTAATCAGACGCAATTTCGCATTAGCAAACTACAGGAGCATTTTGTCATACCTCGAAGGTGTTGATTGGTATGGGTCTTTGAATAGCGTTCAGTCGGTAGATTCTAAGTATGAGCTATTCCTTAGCAATTCTCCATCATGCCATCGATCTTTTCGTGCCGGCTACTGCGAAGAACTCAAGGGAGTCGTTCCTACCACAATACCTACAGAAGTTGATGCACAAGAGGGAACATGTTTGGAAGAGAGCGAAACTTTCTGATACCATAGAGGATTGGGAATCCTTCAAAAGCATTAATAAGTCTTTTGAGTCCAAACTACGTAAATATAATGCATCTATTGAGAAACGAATTGTATCATCAGGCTGCAAGAGTGGTTTTTACAAGTTACTTAAGTTCCGCTTGAAGCGTAAGCCAAAGTTACAAGCTCTGCGTGCACCCAACGGGGAGCTTATAATCGACGACACAGAGCGAGCCGAAGTGTTGGCCTCCGCTTTTGAGACCCATTTTGGAGAGAGTAGTGCACACGTTGACCTTACAGTGGCTAGAGAGGAATTCCCCCAAATGGAAGATTCCGCCTGGTTTCGAAGGGATGATATTTTAGAGACTCTGCTTAAGTGGCCTCGTTCAGAATCTGTTACTCCAGACTTCATTCCCTTATCGTTCATAAAAAAGGTTGCTTCATCTCTAAGCATCACTGGAGTATATTTTCAATCTGAGCTTCATGAATTCTGAAGTGCCTTCTAGGTGGATCCAGTCTCTTATAACACCCATACCGAAAAAACCACCATACACGGAGGCTATGAATTTCAGACCGATCAGTATAACATCGGTATTCGCCCCGGCTGTTCGAGAAAATCTTGAAAAAACAAATCGAGGTCCACCTCCACAAATATTCGGTCATCTCTCCCTTGCCAGCATGGGTTTCAGAGGGGGAAGTCAACGGTAACGCAATGTGGCAGGCGCTTCATACTGGACCAACGTACCTAGATAAGGCAGAGAATGTAGCTTTGATTTAATCTCGATTTTTTGTAACCAGCCTTTGATAATAGTTACTACACGCTCAGTGCTTCAAAAATCAAGGGTTTGGTGGATCCATCCCCGAATAATCGCTATTGGGCTTACATTTTCCGGTGCTCCGTAAAGAAAGTTGTGTGCGGGTGAACATCGCCTTTTTTTTCAAGCCAATGGACCCGCGTCCACTGGTGTGCCTCAAGGTGGCGTGTTATCTCCGACCCTTTTCAATATTTATACGTACGACTTGCTCAGTCTCCTCTCTTCCATCCATGTGAAGTTTTGCGCATTTGCTGATGATCTCAAACTTACTTTATCGCCAATAAGTGGGACCGGGGGGGGGTGAAGACCGATTCACACTACAGAATGTCAAATACTTCTTTGGGTCCGAGGGATTTCGTTCGTTTTGCAATGGGATCTGCCACTTTCTGACGTTAAATCGAGGGTACTCCACTTAGGGTCTAGCAACGCCAGGCACTCCTATACCATGAACGGCACAGTTCTTAGCAGTGCACACGAAGTGCATGACTTGGGATTTCTGGTTTCAGATAGTTTGAATTTTGATGCGCATTGCTCAATGATAGCCAACAAAGCCACTGCATTAACATACAACTTATGTTCACGAGCTCTCTCGACCAGAAACGTGTCGGTGCTTCTTCTTGCCTACAAAACTTTCGTAAGACCTATTGTTGAATATGGGACCCCTGTGTTTAGCCCTTATAAGCTTAAAGTGATAAATATGTTGGAGAGGGTTCAAAACAACTTCACAAGGAACTTATATAACGTGTCTTTGGTTTCTTACGACCAATTCCCTGTAGTAAACTAAGGAAATAGAATTTCCGGACTTAAGCATCTTGTCAACAAGAGAAAGCGAAAGCGAATCTTCATTACTGTCACACAAACTCATTGGCGAGCGAATAGTCAAGTTGGACAGTCCTTCGTTCCGCTGAGACCCTTCACTAATTAACGCCAGTAGTGCTAAATAAATATTATCTGGTAAAGCAAAATAAACTGATAGCGTCTAAATTTTCTACCTTTTAGCATGCGATCCTGATTTACGAAAGCAAGTAAAAAAGGGCTAATACCAAAATCTAATTTGCATAAACATTTTATGTGTTCTTTTGTGACTGCTCGTTTGCTCATGTTTATGGTCGATCTCGTGAGTGCATTTGGCTGTTCAAGAGACTATTAGACAAACTTTTGAGTCCATGAAGCCACATATCGTTTCCCATTCTGGTCAGCGAGTCCATAGGGCCTCGTAGTGTTTTCCCTAAATGTTGCTTACCTTGCTCTCTCATTCGCGTAACTGTGTTCCTTACGTCATCTGTTGATTTTTTTTCTCAATGATCACTCCTAATTGTGTTGTGTTGAGTTTTGAAGTTTTATTTTGTTCTTGTCGTTTTAATGCCTACACACAAATATTTGTGTAATAAATATATATATGTAATTGATAACCTGTCACCCGTCATCATTCCTCATCACTAAATCTTTATAACTGAGCAGTCGTGTAACTACCCTTTAAACACGGACGAACGACTGAATCTCCATTATCACGCCCATATCCATCATTATAGTTCTGTTCACCTGAAGAATTATGCTCGGTGTTTGGTTTTTTCACCGGTTATGTTCCAACTCCACTCTCCTAATATCACTCTGCTAACGCACGCCTCGCTGTTACTTTGTGATCCATGCGCTGTGAATAACGACTCACTTACTTCACAACCGTCCTTATCCGAATCTTTATTCCCGGCTATCACAAATCTATTGTTTTTGTTTTTCAAATGTTGTTTTTCAAATTTTTTCTTGTTTTTGTTTTCAAGTTTTTGGCCTTAATCACTATAAATACTCGAAATCAAGAGCTGACTGCTGCTGTGACCTGCGCTGTGAATATGGTAACCTTTTCCTTCTAACGCCCCTTATCGAATCTTATCAGCAGCTTACAGTTTTTGTGACCCACTAATGATGTTCTTGGACTATCCTCTATATCATATCTTAAGATCGAGAGAGCAAGGACTGATAGGCTGTCACATCAGCGTTATGATATAGTGACTTCTACAGCCCCTTATCGAATCTTATCAATTGATATAACTTCCTGTCACCTACCAATAGTGTTCCCGTCACACCCCGTACATCACTTCTTGAAATCATTGTCTCACTACTGGGACAGGCGCTATGAATTTCGTGACACACAGACAGACGCACACACAAACATACACACACACCCACGACAGCAACATACTTAGGCGGATTCAATAGAGTGAATAACTAGTTGTTGTTCTCGAAGATCACATGCATGTAATTTCCTCATAGAGCACGGTCCGCTAATTGGTCTTAAAAGTTTAAAAATTTGGCGCGGCAGGTATTGTGGTCGCGTACCGAACAAGCTTGTACCAGTTTCGCGGCGAATAATTGTAAAAGGCGCCTCCTTCTTCCAGTGGCTCCGCCTCCAGACTCCACCTTCAAGAGCCGCCTTTCAGTGAGAAACGAAGCTGGACAAAAAATCATGAGAATCGTCACTTGTGCGGTCGTAGAAATCATTATAGGGATATATGATTGCGATGAGGGATTGCTTAGAGAATGATCATTGGTCACGCACTGAATCGGATTGTAATAGAAGCTACTTAATGCGTGAAATTTTTTGTGTACTTTGTTTTTCTTACACTACTCGACTTACTCACAACCCCGGTCGTCTCCATGGTGCAAGGACGAGCGAACGCCACTATTGGATGTTATCATCCGTGCTTTGCCCTCAAAGAACTCAATAATTGCGAGGCACTCACTCGAAAATTTAACAAACCTTCACATCATGAAACCATTCTCTCTCCTCAGAAGAAGTGCTTTCTCAGAAAAGTATAGCTAGTTTCAAAATGATTCCACACCTGAATTATTTTGAAAAGATATCGTGAAACAGCTCGCCTCAGTGCAACTGAGCAAAGGCTTTTTGACAGCTCGCGCGGAATCTCTGAATCTGCGCGAAATCTAAATTTTTATCCATGTGGCTTTTTTGTGGAAAGGTAGGGGGGGGGGGTGGAACGAGCTCCAGCAAATCGGGAGAAGAGATTGAGCGTTAACTTTATCGCAACACATATGGTGTTCCCAAACCATGAGAATGTAACCACATGATGTTTCTCCTGATTTTTTCATGGATCGCGCTCCACTCCCAACCCTCATTTCGAGAGGTATTCTGTGATTGGTAATTCCGCACAAAGTTTTTCTCAATCTCGGAGTGAGGCCGCGTTCATAGCTTGCGACCATGAAGAAATGCAGAAATGCGGAAAATGCAGAAGTGCGGAAAGTGCAGAAGTGCGGAATCTGCAGAAAAGCAATAGATACGTATCGACTTGAAGAAATGCAGAAATGCCGAAACTGCAGACGTGCGGAAAGTGCAGAAATGACGAAAAGCATTACATACGTATCGATTTGAAGAAATGCAGAAATGCCGAAAGTGAAGAAGTGCGGAATCTGCAGAAATGCCGACGTGCGGAATGTGCAGAAATGCCGACAGTGCGGAATGTGCAGAAAAGCAACCGATACGTATCGATTTTCCACACTTTCGGCATTTCTGCAGATTCGGCACTTCTTCACTTTCGGCATTTCTGCATTTCTTCAAGTCGATAAGTATCCATTGCTTTTCTGCACATTCCGCACTGTCGGCATTTCTGCACATTCCGCACTGTCGGCATTTCTGCAGATTCCGCACTTCTTCACTTTCGGCATTTCTGCATTTCTTCAAATCGATACGTATGTAATGCTTTTCGTCATTTCTGCACTTTCCGCACGTCTGCAGTTTCGGCATTTCTGCATTTCTTCAAGTCGATACGTATCTATTGCTTTTCTGCAGATTCCGCACTTCTGCACTTTCCGCACTTCTGCATTTTCCGCATTTCTGCATTTCTTCATGGTCGCAAGCTATGAACGCGGCCATAAAGA